ATGTCTTAAGACTCCTATATACTCCAGGATAAAAACCATGATGTAGCCTGGTGTGGTGGCTCACGCCTGTAATCCCAGCACTTTGGGAGGCCGAAGCGGGCAGATCACCTGAGGTCAGGAGTTTGAGACCAGCCTGGCAAACATGGTGAAACCCCGTCTCTACTAAAAATACAAAAAATTAGCCGGGCATGGTGGCGGGCGGCTGTAATCCCAGCTACCCTGGAGGCTGAGGCAGGAGAATTGCTTGAACCCAGGAGGCGGAGGTTGCAGTCAGTCGAGATCATGCTACTGAACTCCAGTCTGGGCAACAGAGCAAGACTCCATCTCAAAAACAAAACAAAACAAAAACAAAAACAAAAACAAAAAACAAAAAACCATGATGTACTCAGACCCAAAATTAATTAAAATGTGTGCAGATGTTTTTGGTTCTGCAGCAGGCTTCGTGCCTATCTTCCTCTGCCTGCTAACCTGTAGCCCTGCTTTGGCTGGGGCCATCTTCCTCAACTGGATGTCTTTTGCGACCTGGCCCGGAAAAGCTGATGTCCTGAGCTTGCTGAATTAAACCCATCCCTAGGATCAGGGGAGGAGTGAATGAGAATACTTCTCAGCATCCACTTCAATTTAAATTGTTCCATACAGGTTTAGTGCCCTGCAAATTCCCTTGGCAAGAGGTTTTCAATGGTTAGAATCTTTTTTTTTTTTTTTAGACGGAGTCTCACTGTGTCTCCCAGGCTGGAGTGCAGTGGCATGATCTCGGCTCACTGCAAGCTCCGCCTCCCGGGTTCACGCCATTCTCCCGCCTCAGCCTCCCAAGTACCTGAGACTACAGGCGCCCGCCACCATGCCCGGCTAGTTTTTTGTATTTTTAGTAGAGACAGGGTTTAACCATGTTAGCCAGGATAGTCTCGATCTCCTGACCTCGTGATCCACCCGCCTCGGCCTCCCAAAGTGCTGGGATTACAGGCTTGAGCCACCGCGCCCGGCCTCAATGGTTAGAATCTTTTAGTAGAAGTAATCGTCCACTGTGTCAAGAACCATGTGAGGTGTCTTCAGATTTGACAACTGCTGTGTTTCCAAGGGACACCCCTTCAGAGTTTCATGCTGGACAAACGACACAGGCCCAGGAGCAATGAACGAAGAAATTCAGGCATAAAAGGCGCTCTGATAGTAATCCAAAGCCCTATGTCTGGGGTTCATCTTAGAATTTAACCAACGGATATATGAAGAACATGCTGGCACTGTACTAAATCACTTTTCTGAGGTTTCAGTGTACTGGATGTACTCCAGGATAAAAACCATGATGTACTCAGACCCAAAATTAATTAAAATACCTCTCTATATCTTTCCTGCCTCACGGTCATGCATACATTCTTCTCAACACCTTTCTTTTACCAAGCTGGTCCGAATGCCCCTGAGATCACGTG